TGTCACAGGCCAAGTGACGTCACGGGGCTGAGTGACATCACGATCCAGGTGATATCACGAGCCAAGTGACATCACAGGGATGAGTGACATCATGGGCTGAATGACATCACAGGACCAAGTGGCACCACAGGCCAAGTGACGTCACGGGGCTGAGTGACATCACGATCCAGGTGATATCACGAGCCAAGTGACGTCACGGGGGTGAGTGACGTCACGGGCTGAATGACATCACAGGACCAAGTGGCACCACAGGCTGAGTGACGTCACGGGGCCGAGTGATGTCATGGACTGAGTGACATCACGGGGCTGAGTGACGTGATGTCACGGGGACAAGTAATGTCACGGGGCCGAGGCTGCCAGTGACCCCAGGTGGACCTGTGCAGTCCTGGGGGGGCGCTTCATGTCCCTCGCGGGGTGACTGAGGCCCACGTCAGCACCGAAGCATTAGGGGGTCTCCGTCCTGTTCGTCCTCGGCCCCTGCCGGCCAGCTCCTGAGGGTCCTGGGGGGCGGGGCCGCTGTCGGCTCTCCCGGGGGCCCATGACCCTCCTCCTGGACCGGCTGGTACTGGCCACCCCCTGCCCCGCTGGCCGCTCCCCCAACTGGGTTCCTCCCGCCACGTCCTCACCTCATGGGTGTTGGCTACTCCCAGCCGTCCTGTGTGGCCCATGACGGGAGGGGCCGGGGGTTTTGTGTCAAGGTCAGAAATTAGGCTGCGAAATCAGACCTCAGTCTCAGGGAGCGTGTGGACACGCGTGCGCCCAGCGCACACGCGAGCACGGACCCAGCACCACACACGTGTGCACGTCCACGCGTGCACACGGTCGGCGAACATGCAAGCACTTACCCTACACACACGTGCACAGACATGCACGCAACCCAGCTCGCGCACCACCTAGCACACACACGTGCACGCACAACCCCGCAGCACACACGCACACGGACACAGGCACACGTGCACACGCTCACACCCCAGCACACACAGATGCACGCAGGCACACACAGGCTGGCACCCAGGCCTGTGGCCCCTCCCGCTGCCCCCCCCCCCCCAATCCTGGGCGGGAGATTCTTGTGGTTCCGAAGCCCCCGGCGCTAACCCCGAGGGCGCGGGCTGGGGAGGCTCCGGAGGCGTCGGGGAAATTGGATTCAGACCTGTTGTGGCTTGGGGGTGGGGGCGACCCCCCGTCATTCCTCCTGGCCTGCCTGTGCGGCTGTGAGGGGCCGAGGGTCAGAGCCGTCAAGTCCACTCGCTGGGGAAGGACGGGCTCGGGCCCCAGGCGGCTGGGGATGGGCGGGACCCCCACACGCCCTGGGTGGTGCCGAGGGAGAGCCAGTGAGCGGACCCCCAGCCGGGCAGCCGGCTGAGGGGCACGGGGACCCCCAGAGTGCGGCTGTCCTGGTCCGTGCTGGACGGTCCCGGCTCTTCGGGGCCCCACTGAGGTTGTTGGGGGCAGTGTGGTGACACGGCGTGTCCACGACCCCTGAGGGAGCTCTGGGGGTCACCTGTGCTGCCCCGAGCCGGCCACTCACTCATGGACACCTCCACACACACACGCTCACACTCACACACTCATACTCAGACACACACTCACACAACACCCCCACACTCCTGGCATCTCACATACACGCTCACACACGCACTCATACTCAGGGGCACACACACACACTCACACCTGGGCGCACACGCACTCCTGGGCCACACCACGCCCTCCCCGCTCACTCACACGCCGTCACCCGCACTAACCCCGCGTGCCCCAGCACACACGCACTCACGTGCTCACACATGTGTCCAGCAGCCTGGCCCGTGCGCCCCACGTGCCCACATGCCCCGTCCCGGCCTGCGTGGGCCCCGGCCGTGCCAGACTCTCTGTACCGTGGACAGAACTGGGCAGTGCTGAGAGCCCGGGGCGGGGTGGGGATGGACAGAGACAGAGACGGGCCAGCACCCGGGGGGGGGGGGGGTGGGACACACCCTCCCCCCTGCTGCAGTTCCTCCTGGGCCCCAGGACAGTGTAAGGACCCAGCCACCTTTACCTGGACTCTGGGTCCAGGCAGCGAGGAGAAGGGAAGGGACAGACGGACGGGGGACAGGGGACAAGGGGACAGGCCACAGCTGCAGCCCTGTGCGCTGATCCCTGACCCAGCCCCGTGTGGCCTGTCCCTGGCTGGGACTTCTCTGTGCTTAGGACGAGGGTCCGGGCTGGGGTGTTGTGAGGGTCAGTGGTGTCACAGGCTGTGACTTCCCGGGCAGACGCTGGCGGGCGGCTGCGCGTGGGTCAGCGCCAGGCCAGTGGGGGTGCGGGCAGGGTGGACACCGGCTTGGGTGTCCCCGGGACTGACCGCGCTCTGTGGCCAGTTTGCATCTCAGCACGGGCTGGCCAGGGCAGACTCGAACCCGGGGCCTCACTGCAGCCTCCCAGTGCTGGGAAGCGGCTACAGGCAACCCCCCCTCCCCGCCCCAGCCATGGCCTTCTGGTCCCACGAGAGTCACCAGCCCCCTCGGTGACGAAGTCGAGTCTTGCTGGGAGCCTCTTGGGCCCGGCTGGGGTGAGCCCGGCCCCGCGCTCCAAGACCCCTGGACTGCTGGGGGGACGCTGAGACCCCCCCCCCACCACCGCTGCCGTCTGTCTGTCTGCCCTCTCGGTGGGGACCCCCTCCCCGCCCCACAGCCAGGCGGGCTCATTGTCCCGCCGCCCAGACTCCCGCTATTGTCCCCGGCCTCCAGCGCCGAGAGGGAGCCGTGCCGGGTCTGTCACTGCGCTCGCTCCTGCCCGGCAGACAGCTCTGGACGGCGGCCAGGCTGGCCCAGCGTCCCCCCTTCCCGTCCTGGCGAGAGCGCAGCGGGGCTGCCCCCTGGCGGCGGGTCCTGCCCGGCCCTGGGACCCCTTTACTGGGGGGGAGGGGAGAGGCGGTACCCCGCCTGCTGGCCTGAGGGAGGGGGCTTAGCTCCCGGGGATTGGGGGGCCCAGATGCAGCCTGCCTCAACCTGCCTCGACCTCCCGCCCATGGAGGGCCCGAGGGACCACCTGAGCCCGTGGGTGGGGCCCCCCCAAGATTCAGGCCCCACCCCTCACCATGTCCAGTCGCCAGCCGTGTCTGACCCCCTCCCCAGGCCTCTGGAGGGGCGCCCCAAGGCCGTGCCCAGTCTGCAGGGCGTGGGAGGCCGGGGGAGCGCAGGGATGCTGGGTGGGGAGTTGGGGTCTCCGCTCCCGGGTGGGCTCACGGACCGGGTGGGGTCTGCTCATGGCCCGGGGCGGGGGCAGCTCCACTAGCCAGGGGGCGGCGAGGGCCACAGAGCCGGGTTGGGACAGGCAGGGGAGTCGGTGGAAACACATGGGTGCCCCTCCCCGTCCCCAACGCCCTGGGTCCGGCAGGCGGTACCTGGATGTTGCCAGTGGACGCATGCAACCACGTCCTGCAGTCACCGCTGAGCCGGGGGTTCAGGCTGGACTTGCGCAGTGCAACAGGCCCTGCTCTGCCGGGGAGGAGGGGCAGCTCTGGAGTGAGGGGTGGGGTGGAGGAGGGGAAGGGGGAGGGAGAGGGGAGGAGATGCAGATGATGGGGAGATGCAGATGATGGAGGTTCAGGAGATGCAGGTGATGGAGGTGGAGATGCAGGTGATGGGGGAGATGCAGATGATGGAGGTGGGGGAGATGCAGGTGATGAAGGAGATGCAGGTGATGGAGGTGATAGGGAGATGCGGATGATGGAGATGGAGGAGATGCGGATGATGGGGAGATGCAGATGATGGAGGTGGGGGAGATGCAGGTACCAGGGAGAGGCAGGTGATGGGGGAGATGCAGATGGGGGAGGTGGAGGAGATGCAGGTTAAGGGGGAGATGCAGATGATGGATGTGCAGGAGATGCAGGTGATGGGGGAGATGCAGATGATGGAGGTGCAGGAGATGCAGGTGCCAGGGAGATGCAGGTGATGGGGGAGATGCAGATGATGGAGGTGGAGGAGATGCAGGTGATGGGGGAGATGCAGGTGATGGGGGAGATGCAGATGATGGAGGTGGGGGAGATGCAGGTGCCAGGGAGATGCAGGTGATGGGGGAGATGCAGGTGATGGGGGAGATGCAGATGATGGAGGTGGAGGAGATGCAGGTGATGGGGGAGATGCAGATGATGGAGGTGGAGGAGATGCAGGTGATGGGGAGATGCAGATGATGGAGGTGGGGGAGATGCAGGTGATGGAGGTAATAGGGAGATGCAGATGATGGAGATAGGGGAGATGCAGGTGATGGGGGAGATGCAGGTGATGGAGATAGGGGAGATGCAGGTGATGGGGGAGATGCAGATGGGGGAGATGGAGGAGATGCAGGTTAAGGGGGAGATGCAGATGGGGGAGATGGAGGAGATGCAGGTTAAGGGGGAGATGCAGATGATGGAGGTGCAGGAGATGCAGGTGATGGGGGAGATGCAGGTGATGGGGAGATGCAGGTGATGGGGGAGATGCAGATGATGGAGGTGGAGGAGATGCAGGTGATGGGGGAGATGCAGGTGATGGGGAGATGCAGATGATGGAGGTGGGGGAGATGCAGGTGATGGAGGTAATAGGGAGATGCAGATGATGGAGATAGGGGAGATGCAGGTGATGGGGGAGATGCAGATGGGGGAGATGGAGGAGATGCAGGTTAAGGGGGAGATGCAGATGATGGAGGTGCAGGAGATGCAGGTGATGGGGGAGATGCAGGTGATGGGGGAGATGCAGGTGATGGAGGTGGAGGAGATGCAGGTGATGGGGGAGATGCAGGTGATGGGGAGATGCAGATGATGGAGGTGGGGGAGATGCAGGTGATGGAGGTAATAGGGAGATGCAGATGATGGAGATAGGGGAGATGCAGGTGATGGGGGAGATGCAGATGGGGGAGATGGAGGAGATGCAGGTTAAGGGGGAGATGCAGGTGATGGGGGAGATGCAGGTGATGGGGGGAGATGCAGGTGACGGAGGTGCGGGAGGCGCAGCCCAGCCCCGCCCGCCCCCCCCCCCCCCCCGCAGGCTCTTCGCGGTCAAGTGCGGCGGCTGCTTCGAGGCCATCGCGCCCAGCGAGCTCGTCATGCGCGCCCAGAAGAGCGTCTACCACCTGGGCTGCTTCTGCTGCTGCGTGTGCGAGCGGCAACTGCGCAAGGGGGACGAGTTCGTGCTCAAGGAGGGGCAGCTGCTGTGCAGGGGCGACTACGAGAAGGAGCGCGAGCTGCTCAGCCTGGCCAGCCCCGCCGCCTCCGACTCGGGTGAGTGTGTGCCCCGCGGGCGGGCGGGCGAGGGGCACGGGGCACCAGCACGGGGTCGGGGGTGCCAGGGACGCTCCTGAGGGCGACTGTGGGTGTCGGGACGCGGCGCACTTAAATCCCGTCCTCCTTGGGGGACTCGGCCCTGCAGTGCTCAGGGATGCTGTGACCATCTCAGGAGTAAGTCTACTTTTTTCTGTTTTTTTTTGCTTTTTGGGTCCCACCCGGCAATGCTCAGGGCTGACTCCTGTCTCTGCACTCAGGAATCACTCCCGGCGGTGCTCGGGGGACCCTAGGGGATGCTGGGAATCGAACCCGGGTCGGCCATGTGCCAGGCCAACACCCTCCCCGCTGTGCTATTGCTCCAGCCCCTATGGATGGATCAGATATTGATCAAGGTGCTGAACTGGGTGATGGACCAAATATTATTTTATTATTATTATTATTATTATTTTGGGGTCCCACACTCAGGGCTGACTCCCGGCTCTGCACTCAGGAATCACTCCTGGCAGTGCTCGGGGGACCCTAGGGGATGCCGGGAATCGAACCCGGGTCGGCCGCGTGCCAGGCAAACGCCCTCCCTGCTGTGCTGTCACATTTCACCTCACCTCCTGCTCCCTCTCGCCCTCCTTCCTCAGTGCTCGTCTCCACAAGCAGGGAGGCACGTGGCGGCCTCTCATCCTGGCCAGGCGCAGGGTCGAGGCCCACAACCCCGCGCTCGCTCCCCCGGGGCGGGAAGTCATGCTGCCTCCTTGGGTTTCCGCTTGGCCAGGGGCAGCACGCGCCAGGGGAACTGAGTGAAACCGGAGCCAGCCCGGGTGGCGGGGCGGGCGGCCAGTGCCCAGGGCCGGCACCGGCTATTATCAGCCTGTCAGCGCCCGCCGGCCGCGTGCTCGGGAGGGGATCCGTTTCTGTGTGTTTTCCGATTCACTCATCAACCCCGGGGAGGCTCAGGCGGGTCCCCCCCCATGCTGGCCCCCTGCACCTTCACTGTGTCTTGGCTGGAGCTGCAGGTTTGTCCTTCCTGCCGTTCGGAGGATACAGACACCGGATATGGGTGGGGGATGACCCAGAATAAGTACTTGATTCTGCCAATCACTGAGTCCGGACACGCGTGACACGTGTGTATTAGGAGTCGGCTACTTTTGGCCGTGTGGGGGGCTGGGCGGGGCGGGGTGGGGGGTGACCCGACTCTTGGGCTGACACTAAACTCGCAGGCAGAGCATCCCGGTGGCAGCCGTGGGCCATCCGGCCCCTATCGGAGGAGCACTGTGGGCTGGGGGAGGGCGCGTGCGGGGCGTCCCCCCTGGGAAAAAGGTCCTGTGGCTCAGAGGAAGTTCTCTCAGGCCGAGACTCTAGTTTGGAAGCTCGGGGCCCTTCCGCCAGGGCGGGAGCCCCTGAGAACTCCCTCGTCACCGTCCTTCTTTGTTTGCGTCGGGGGCCGTCGCTGGCTCCGCACTCAGTGCTCACCCCTGGCAGTGCTCGGGGTGCCGGGAATCGAACCCGCGGGAAGGCCTGCAAGTCCCGTGGGCCGTTCTGTGGCGGGACCCTCCGCCCCCTCGCCCCAGGCCCACGGGACGCCTGCCGGATGGACTCGGGGACCCGCAGTGCTCAGCCCGGGGTCTGCGCCCGCAGAAGCATCCCCACCGCCGCGGAGCCCCCAAGGCCGCCCCTGCCGGACCCGAGCCTCAGCCCCGGCCGTCCTGCTGCTCGGCCCAGCGCCCCCACCGGTCACTGTGGCCCTCCAGCTGGGCCCGGCTGCCCGGATGGACGCGGCTCCATCCCAGAAGCCGGTGCCCGGAGTGCGGCGCTCGGAACCCGCTACCCCCCCGCCCTTCCTCCTCCCTTCCTCCCTTTCATCCTTTCTCCTTCCTCCCTCCCTCCCTCCCTCCCTCCCTCCCTCCCTCCCTTCCTTCTTCCCTTCCTTCCTTCCTTCCTTCCTTCCTTCCTTCCTTCCTTCCTTCCTTCCTCATTCCTTCCTCCTTCCTTCCTTCTTCCCTTCCTTCCTTCCTTCCTTCCTTCCTTCCTTCCTTCCTTCTTTCCTTCCTTCCTTCTTTCCTTCCTTCCTTCCTTCTTCCCTTCCTTCCTTCCTTCCTTCCTTCCTTCTTTCCTTCCTTCCTTCCTTCCTTCCTTCCTTCCTCCCTCCTTCCTCTCCTTCCTTCCTTCCTTCCTTCCTTCCTCCCTCCCTCCCTCCCTCCCTCCCTCCCTCCCTCCCTCCTTCCTTCCTTCCTTCCTTCCTTCCTTCCTTCCTTCCTTCCTTCTTCCCTCCCTTCCTTCCTTCCTCCCTTCCTTCCTTCCTTCCTTCCTTCCTTCCTTCCTTCTTCCCTTCCTTCCTTCCTTCCTTCCTTCCTTCCTCTCGCCTTCTCTCACTCCCTTCCTTCTTTCCTGACTTTCTTTCACTTTCTCTCTTTTCCCTTTCTTCCTTTTTCTTTCTCTTTCTTTCTCTCCTTTCCTTCCTTTCTTTCTTCCTCCCTCTCTCCTTCCTTCCTCTCTCTTTCTTTCTTTCTTTCTTTCTTTCTTTCTTTCCCTTCCTTCCTTCTCTTTCTTTCTTCCTTTCTCTTTCTCCCTTTTTTCTGTCTTTCTTTCTCTTTTTCTCTTTCTCTCTCTACCTCCCTTCCTTCCTTCCCTCCTCCCTTATTCTCACTTTCTTTTTCTTCCCACTTTTTTCTACCTTTTTTCTCTTCCTTTCTCTCTCTCCCTTCCTTCTTTCCTTCCTAACTTTCTTTCTCTCTTTTCTCTTTCTTCCTTTCTCTTTCCACTCCTTCCTTCCTTCCTTCCTTCCTTCCTTCCTTCCCTCTTACCTTCCTTTCTTCTTCCCTTCCTCCTTTCCTCTTTCTCTCTTTCCTCTTTCTCTCTCTCTCTTTCTTTCTTTCTTTCTTTCTTTCTTTCTTTCTTTCTTCCTTTCTCTTTCCCTTCCTCCCTTCCTTCCTTCCTTCCTTCCTCCCTCCCTTCCTTCCTTCCTTCCTTCCTTCCTTCCTTCCTTCCTTCCTTCCTGTCTCCTTCTTTTTCTCCCTCCCTCCCTTCCACTGGGTTTGGACCCTTTGCCAGTAGGCAGGAAGACGGGACTTTTTCCAAACGAGGCTCGTGCAGGGAAGGGCCAGAGCCTTGGGCAGCCCCCAGACCCGTTCCCAGGCTCGGAGGCTCCTTCCGGGGCCCCTTGGCTCATCCACGCAGACCCCATGGCACCGGGCGCAGCCGCATCTCTTGGCTGGGAATTCTCAGCATCCGCCAGCAGGCTCGGCTGGGGCTGGATAGGGCGGGAAGGAGCTGCCCTCTGGGCCCTGAGCTGGGCCAACTCCCTGTCCTCGTCACTGTGTCTCTGGGACGGAGGCGGCGGGAACCACAAGCACGGAACCGTGTTTCCACAGAGAGCAGCTTCCCAAACTAAGCCTGACTCAGCTAAGAACGGGTTTGCAGGGTCGGAACTAAGGACAGCGTTTGCCTCACACGCGGCCGACCTGGGCTCAATCCCCGGCACCCTGAAGGGTCCCCCAGACCCACCCGGAGTGAGCCCTGAGCACCACCAGTGTGACCCCCTCCCGCACATAGAATGTGTTTGAATATTCCTGCAGACCCCGCGGAAAGGTCTGGAAGGATTTCGTGGCAGCCTGGCCCTGGGCTTCTTCACAAGTGTCCTGCAGGGCTGGAGAGTCACCAAGGCTGAGAGTTTTGCAGGTGAAGAGTTTGGGGACAGAGGTGGGGTCCGGCCTCGGCTCTAACACACCACACACACACACACACACACACACCAGAATGCTGGTGCTGATGGGAAGTTCTGAACGGACACAGTGTCCTGAGAAGGTTCCAAAGACCCTGGAATCCAAATCCAGCGACCCTGGAATTCCAGGTCACCCGGCCTGCGTTTATACATCTGTGATATGCAGCGTAAATGTCCGGAAGTCGGATGTCACTGTTAGTCCTGGATTCTGCCTGGCGGTTCCAGGTAGAGGAGTTAGTTGGTACCCCCAGGGCAGGGGTGGGCCTGGGGCTGGCACGGGGGTACGAGGGATTGTGTGAGGTGGTGGGTGGGTGGGTGGGTGAGTGACTGGGTGGAGCATGGGTGTGCTGGTGGAAGGGAGCACAGGTGGGCAGTGGGTGGGCTGGGCTGGGTGGGGGGTGGAGTGACAGGCTCTCCCCTGAGCCGTGAGGCCCTCGCGCCCCGTGCCTGGGGCCCGTCACCGTGACCCGGGCAGATGGAGGAGTCCCTGCACGCCCAGCCCAGCCGGGTCCTCTCTCTGCCGTGCGGCTGGTTTGGGACTCCCTGGGGTGGCTGGGCGACCCCCGCCCGCCCGTCCTCCCTCCCTCCCGTCTCTCAGGGGGCCGGGAGCACCTGGCCCGGGGCCCCCTTGCCCACCTTCCTCCGGCGTTTGATGAGAAAAGGCAGAGAAAGGGCCGGCGGGCCATATGCCGCCTAATCTCCAAAGCCGGGACTTCAATTAGGGCCCCGCTCCCGCCCGCTGGGTAAACAGGGGCTGAAAGGGACCCCCCTCTCCAGTCAAGGGCCTGAGCTCGGGGCCTCGTTCCCAGGCGCGGGCCCGCCCGGGTCGCCCGCAGGTCGCCCGGGCCCAGGTGACGTCAGGCGGCGGGATTAGGGTGCCCGCGGCCGCGCAGCAGCGCCCAGTTAATTAAAAGTGAGGTCGGCTAAATCCGCAGGGCCTGCCCGGAGGGGCCTGCGGGGGCTGCGGGGGGGGGGGGGGGGGGGGGGGGGGGCGGGGGGGGGATTTCTGTGTGTGTGTGTGTGTGTGTGGGGATAAGAGCATGCGTGCTTGTGTCTGTGAGTCTATATGTGTGCATGTGTTTATGTGTGTGAGTATATTTGTGTGACGGTGAGTGTATGTGTATGTGTAAGAGTATGTGTGCATGTGTGTGTGAGTACATGTGTGTATGTGTGAGTCTGTATGTGTGCATATGTGTGAGTAGGGCTGGAGCGATAGCACAGCGGTAGGGCGTTTGCCTTGTGTGCAGCCGACCCGGCTGACCCGGGTTCGATTCCTCCGCCCCTCTCAG